TCCTTTAGTTTTTTCTCAACATGCGGTTGAGTTGTCAAAGAAAGACTGATGTATCCCCCAAGGGACTCGGCAGGTAGTTTGTTGGAGTTTTCCCACTCCAAATCCCCAGGGTGAGCAAAAAGGAGAGGATTTTCCATCAGAAAATAACCAAGCATAAAGCCTGAAGCAAAGAAAAGTTGGTACCATGCACCCAGCAGCAAACAAACCATGCCAATACAACTCACTGTGTCAGTCAATGGATAGATAGATGGATGGATGGTGGTACAAATTGATTGTTTATTTGTTAATATACGAGGCAAATTAATTATTTCATTGTTATGTGCCAACAAAAACAAAAAAAGTAAATTACATACTTCTAAAAACAGTTTTAAATGTTTGTTGATTATCCAAATCTGGTGCTCAGTAGACAGACAGAAACACAAGTTTCCCCTGAGTGCAGTCTGAAAACAGTTATAAACCACCGCTTTTATTGTCTGTAACTGTGAAAAGGAAGTAAGTTGACCCCATTTCAATTCCTTGGCATGGAAAAGTTTGGGAACCCCTGGTAAAGATGATGATTTACAAGCTAAACCTCATGCAATATTGAAACAGTATAGCCGGTGTCTGTACTACTACACTGTAATAATGTGTTTTTCTTTGCCCTCCTAATGATTTATGATCAGAACAGATTAATCATTAAGATACTCTTCATCAACAGCCCATCATTTTTAAAAAGTGTTCCTGTATGTGACATAATTTCAGAAGTTATTTAAGCATGTAGAGGTAACCCTTCCTCATAGCAATTCATATGGCTGACTCATACTCACAATCCATCAAATATTCATTAAGCTATATGAAAAATTGGTTGTCAGAACTCAGCTGAGGATATCATTTAGGTGTTTGAGTCCTTTATGGAAAAAGTAACAGAGCTGCTGCCAATTTTCCCTATACTTTTAATAAATAATTTTCCCTCACTGAATCCCACTGAGGCTTTGTCTGTGGTAGCATTAGAGTCGTACTCTGCTAAGCATAGGCAGCTGAAGACTTCACAGGACTCGGGTTGGTTCCGTGCAGTGACCCCCAGCCAGCTCCTGATGGAAATCTAACCAAGCATCACGCCCAATTTGAGACTCCAAAGTAAACAAACAGGAGTGCTCTTCAAAGGTACAGCCACTAACAGACAGAAGAGGGGAGTCTATCTGTGGCTCCATTCTCTCAGTAAACTATAAAAGCACAACACTGGCTTAGAACAGACACCAACAACCTGACACATAAACATGTTTATTTGGAAGAAGAAAACATAGTTCATATAATGTTTTTGTTTTTTTTATCAGACATTTTGACATGTTTAGTTATGGGACTGTTCTTGCTTTGTCTGACAAAGCACTTTGTAAAAGGTGCTATATTAAGAAAATACTTAACAAGAATTAGTACTAGTAGTAGTAAAAATGAAACATCAACAATGATTAGGCAGCGACAAATAAGTTATATCACTTATACTGATTACTGTATATTTTACTATTTTCTTATTGTCAATAAATTATACAAAAATACTAAACCAAGTATTGTCTGTGCCATAGACGTCCATTGTTGTTGTTGCACTGGCTAATACGTTCCTTCATTATGATGAACCTGGGCACTGTTGCCTATTTTAAGTTTTTCCCACATACAAAGTCCTACTTCGAGATGAAACATGTTGGTTGTTGTTTGGAAAGGTTTGCAGAAAAGTGCTGCATTAAATGTGTTTTATATACCTGTGGGAAAATTTAAATAAACTGAATTAAATGATATAATAAACAAGGATACATTTTACCCCACAGATGATACACGAGAAGTCTTTGGCTAATCAGTAACAAGATACATATTTTCTTCCATTAAAATGAGATTGATGTTGCATTTGTAGCCATGAGATGTGAAATATTATCCCTTATTATGCAGTAGCACCCTAATACAACCAACAGCTGCAATTTATAACCCCAATGCTAAGGTCCATCATTCTTCCAACTTAGGTCAATATCTGTCTGAGATACTATATATGACCTGGGAGTAAGCAAATTGTGTGTTGGTGGAAAATTTGAAAAGTCTCATTTCTATTCTTGAAGCATGTTTCAAAACAGATCAACAGTTTCTTGCAAAACAGGTTTAGTTAGAGTTACTGTTGCTTGATCGTAGTTTGACAGCTGGTTCATGAATTGAGTTAATCAGCTGTCCCTGAATTATCTGCTTTCACTCCATCTCACTATGGCAGTCCCAAATTACTGCTTTCTTGTCTTAAATGCTGCTTATAATTTGGCTCCGTTAACCTTGGATTTTCCAATTAAGCCTATCAGAGTGTGCAGATGGAAAAGGTATGATTAAAAAACCCCAATTCCTTACAACATCAAATCAGGGAAAGACTGTGAGATAAACAGAAACAGTTGAACCCAAAAGGAAATTATAGTTAGTCAATTCAAAAGGAAAACAAAGCAATTTTCACTAAGGTGAAACATATTGTACATGTATAGTAAATCAGCACACAATTGGAATATAAAATGACACGTAAATACCACAAAGTGCTACAATCATTAGATCTGGTCTAATCCAAAACCAAAATCCCATCAAGGAATCATAGGCCAAGAGTCTGTCCACCAGATTTTCCCCAAATCTGTTGTTAACTTCCTTTTTATATTATGTCATCAGACAAAAAACAAAAACCTTTGTTCAGTTTTGTTAGCGAAGGTATTTTTGTTTACTTTTAGTACACTTAAATGCTACATATATATATATATATTTATATTCACTGTCTTCTTTTTGATGAGGTTGGGCTACAGTCAGTAGTTGCACAATTCTGCTAAACCGAGACAGGGCCCCCGGATATTATTCCAGCTTAATTCAATGTTAATTGGCAATACCAGGTTTGAGTATTAATCTTTATGCTTTTAATTCACCCCTCTTTAAACAGGCTAGTGCTCTGTCCTCTGTACCCACCTGTCCTCTAAATCACTCCCCTCAGTCAAGCACATGAGCTTAATATCCTGCCCTGTCAATAGCCACAGAGAGGAGGGAGACTTTATGTTCCTGAGGTCTCATGACAGACACTCTGAAATGCTGGCCTGAGGGCAGGAGCTCAAACTCATTCTGCCAGGGCTGCTCAGGACAGTCTTGAATGGTATTGGCTTTTCTCAGTGCCGGCCTGTTACACTGTAATTGTGAGAGCTATACCTGACTTACCCCAATGATCTTATTTGTCAATTTTACAAGGCTCCTAAGCTTTTCTTACTGAATAAATTAAAGTTTTCACACCAGGCTTCAATACACAGTGTTAAAATGGTTCCTGTTCTGTACAACAGTCACTGCAGTTCAAAGTGTGCAGCTTTGACACTGAAGATAAGGGTTCTTGTTCCATCTCCTACTAACAGGTTTCGTTTAACCACAATAGCAATCTTTTAACCATAACTAAGTAGTTTCAGTCGCTTAAACGTAATCATACGTGAACTACGGTGTTGAAAACCATTCATAAATCATGCTGGAAGGCACTGACAAATGACCTGTTTTGTCAGGACTTCCTGCCCTGATTTTGTTGAAGTACTCAGTGGCGACTGGGCTGAAAAAAATTAAACATCAACAATGATTAGGCACAGTGTGTAGTCATCAGGCTTTGTTCCTTAAAGCCTATAGAGTTGCACAAGAGAGAATTATTACTCCTCATCACAGTTCCACAGCAGTTATGATAAGTTATGATCTAATGATTTGCTGTTCTACTACTGCTAAAGAGTCAGTAGATGAACAACTGTGTTTCTGCTGCCCTTTTGCAGGGAGTAGCTCCCATAGGGGTAAGTAGGCTTTTCATGATTGGTCTACATCCCTGCTAATGTCAATGCACAAAGATAGTCCCCTTGATATTACTGTTCTCTGCCCTTACTACTTAACCAGCGTAACCCCTTAAACAAGACTGGGTCGACTTTTAATTACTTATTTGACAAGATAGACTCTAATAAAAAATATCAAACACATTATTTTTACCGCTGACATCTCCCAGTCTAACACGATCAATACTACCATTGCTCTGTATGAACATATAAATAACACATTGTTTTAATGAAAATGAAGGCAGTTTGGTGGGTAATCTGTTTAAGGTATTGATTCATGTCAAGACTCATCCAGAGTGATAAGGTCACGGCCCCTGTGTTTGTTTGTTTGTGTTTTTACTCTTGAGAATTCTACCCATTTATTTAGTATGGAAAATAAGGACGTGATTAGATGCTAGAAGTTTGGGTTTTGGCAAATAAACAAGGAAACGACAAATACAACCCTGTATGTGTTTATATCATAACTTGTCATCAGATGTTTTAAGTGATGTACAATGATAAAGTAACTTAAATGGTTCTTAAAGTGTAAATGTAAACATATTTTTTTTGTCTTATAGAATTCATGTTTGACAGACAGAATTAAGTTGAAGTACTAAGTGTCTGAAATGTAATTAAAAGTAATTACTAGGGTGATACATAGACATGAATTCACAAATTTATGAATGTACTTTTGCAATCCAGAAATACCAATGCAAATAGATGAATAAATCAGAAGTCTTGTCATTCTCTATGTAGCTGGAGTGATTAGCATGTATGCAAATCAATGATTTGTTTTATGTATAAGCTATTTGTAAGCTCGGCACATTCAAATTTAATTTCTACTTGATGTTGCACATCCTCTTACATCCTCTATCTCCCTATCTCTTTCTGACACTGTGTATGCCTGTGTTTGTGTGTCTCGATGAAGGTGTTGGCAGGTTCCTTTTGTGTTTGTAATTATTGGCTGTCAACACATTTGGAGAAGGGACTGTTCTTTGTACTCTTAGTTGGACCTGTGTCATAGAAACATGATGGAGCACAGCACCCTGAGGGTTTTGCATTGAGTATTGTTAATCCTCAAAGATGATGTGAACATATTGACGTGTGTGTGTAAACTGAAGCAGTCAAATTTCTGTGTTTATGTGAGTGTTTAATATATCTCTGAGCTGACATGTGTCCTCTGTGCTATGACAGATGCTATGTTACTGGTGGCAGCCAGACTGGAGGGACCCTTCAACATTGAAGCAGTTATAGAGCCAGTTGACATCAAGATCTCTGAGGCCATCATGACCATGCAGGACAACAGCATGCAAGTTTCAGCTAAGGTACTGTAACATTGTGTAATAAATTAATGTATTTATTTATACTTCATTGTTTTTTTTGTTTGTATTTTATTAGTGAAAAAATGTGGAAATGAAATGTTTTCCAAGAGAGACCTGAGAACATAAGCATACCCAATCACACAATAGACAAGTAAAAACCAGAGCAAGAAAGGAAAATTATAATGGCAAAGTGAAAAGAAAAAGAAGGGGGAGAAAGACAGATAATGTAATACAGTAAACAATAAGCACAATAAGTGGGTTATACAACTTAATTATTTCTAATTGTTGCAACATCTCCATATCCACATTTCTATTTGAATTCTCATGATGTGGATGAAAATACTGTTGTAATTGTTATATTGTAAACAGTAGAACACAGCAACAAGACAAGCAGCAGTACACAGTCCTCACTTCTTAAAACGCACATTTATATACTACTGATTTACAAAAGCAAAGGTTTTGAAAGAAAAGTATACCATACATCAGAGTAAGCTTTCATAAAACATTCACTGTATCCACTCATGGTAACACTGTCTTAAAGCCATTTATCCATAACCTTAATCTAAACCTTAAAGTGCTTAGGGGTCTAGGCCTAACTACACCTGGGATGCAAGACAGGAACTCAGGTCTTCAGGTTTCCTCCAAAATGAAATTGGCAAACCATTTTGTTGCATATAAAAGACTGAACTAATTTCCTCTTTAGCCTCTTTAGTGTTCCAGTTGCTAATCAGTCTTTTCAATTGTTTAAAATTGGAAGCAGCACATTCAGGATATTATCACACACAGGACCGTTTTTCAATGTCTTTCTTGTCAAAAGGCAGGTTTATCAGTAACATTTTTTATTCTGATCCTTTGATGTATTCTGGCCTGTCGCCATGCCAGAGTCACAAAGGTCAGTGTGAATTAGATGTAATTCTTTTCCATATCAAGAGGGTTGCAATTTACAACTTTAGCCATTGTCTGTGCACTTGACACTCCATCCCTGCAAGGCTGTGCTTGGCGGACAGATTGCTCTGAGATTACAATCTTTCCCCACATTCACATTTTAACCATATGTAATCCTTCCCCAATCACCAAGCTTTGTGGAATATGTCAGGCCACATTGAGTTGTACCTTCATTCCTGCTGCCATACACCTGTTGAAAATCGGTTTGCTTGGATGATGTACAGGATAGTGGAATTGTAATCATGGTGAAGAATTGATAAATATTAGAGAGAAGACAGCCTCTTGTCTTGACAGCCATGAAGCACATTAGAGTGCTCCATCACATACTGAGCCAGGGGCCAGCAGACAGGCCAGAGAGGAATGCTAATGAGCTGTGATGTTTGGAAGTGTGTTGTTTGGGCCCTGTAGAGACAAAGCCATCTGAAAACAATCTATTCTGACAATGAACTTCTATGAACTACACATTGATTAATGTTAGGTTCAAGTAATAATACATCTGCACTTCTATTTTTGTTTCACTTGAAACAACAGAACTTTAGTATGTGTTTCAGGGAAGTTTAATAACTTCTGAGTTGTACAATTCAGTATTTTTCCAAGAGCACAGTGTTCTTTGATATACAGTTATTTTTTGGTAGCAGACTCATACTAAATATTTCATAAAATAGAGAAATTCTACATTTTCCTCTAGTTACATTTTAGAATGATATAGGTCTATATTCCACATTAAAGGGTAACCTCTGTATTTTTCAACCTTTTTTTTGTGTCAAATAAGGTAATGGGGACAAGTTTTGAATTTGGTCCAGTATTGAGTGAGAGCGATGCAGCCTGCAACCGCAAAATGGGCTATGACGTAATCCTTATGGGTAGTTGCGCATTGTCAAAATACGTCCATTAAAAGTGCTTATTTTTAGCACATATTGTTATTATAATTGTCTGACAACATTATGGAAAGGACAGAAAAATGAAATGTTTTTGGTACTTTTTGCTTTATCTGTCTGTGAAATCTCCTCTGTGGGGATAGGGTCACAGCACCCACAGGAACACCACCAATCTCTCAACCTTCACAGCCTGTAGCAGCTGGTTTACCCTCCTCTGCCTGTTGCCCCCCTCTCTCTCTCCTTGTCCGCTCTTCAATTTGTTATACTGTGGCTCAAATAAATGCAGGGGACTATCAAATTCAAAAATCTTTTACATAATACTAAGTTATGCTTTTTTACTCCAACAAAACAAACTCTTCCTTGCCTTACTACGCTAACATTTCCACTGTGGTCTCCCTGCAAGGCACCTCACCTCTCCCAAGGTACAGGAAACATTTATTTTTTCTCTGTAGGGTAGTGTTGTCAGATAACATATAACTTATAATAACAATCTGAGCTAGTCAGTGGCAAAACCAAACACTTTTTGGAAGTATTTTGACAGTCCGCAATTGCCTGCAAGGATTAGGTTATAGCCAGTTTTGAGGCTGCAGGATTCTCAATACTGGACAAAGAAAAAAACTTGTTGTCCCCATTAGTCACTTTGACACAAAAACATGGGGAAATGATGGTGAAAAATACTGAAGTTACCCTTTGAAGTTTAACAAATCAGTTTTATAACTAATTTAAAGCTAAGTTATATTTTATTTTTGTGATGAATTAGTTGCAGTCTTTGCAAAAAGCCTTTTGACATAACAATGGCTTTCAGCTGCATGCGCATAACAAAATATCATGGGTTAATTCATTTTTTTGCCACTAATATGACACTTCTTGTAAAAGGAGACCTGGGCACTGATAGAAAGCATTGGTACCAGGCTGGCTCTATATGGTTTTCTATCTCAAATCACAGACCAGAAATTGTGCTGTGAGCAAATTGATACAGGCTTTTCAAGGGAAATGTCAGTGGTGTAGGCAAACTACAACTTTTGTGGGATCAAAATGGATGTGTATTCTGCAAAGGGAATAGGCTTACATGTAGCCCCCGCTCAGTGCAGATTTCATGCAGTTTCGGACTGCTGATAACCTGGTTTCTAACTGTTCAGCACTGCGATGAGAAGCTCATCTCATAATAATGACTGAATATTATCTGGATGTTGTAAAACCAGGCAATTTCCTCAATATACTGTAAGTATTAAAAATGTTTTAGACACTAGTTTGTCTGTATCATCTTTCAGCTTTCCCTTGTGCTTACCCCCCTCTTTGTGGTAATTCTATCTCCCTTTGTTGATTTTAGGTTTTTCAAGGGTGTGGCCAACCAAAGCCATCAGGAATAGGCAGGTCTGCACGCGGCATCTCAGATGTGTTCAGCACTCGTTTCAGACCCTACACCCCTGAAGAGAGGCCAACCACAGCAGCAGGAACAAGCCTGGATAGACTGGTACGTGCAGCAACAACATAATAAAAGCAATATTGTAAACTCTGATTGGGAAATGTACAAATACATGAGTGAAGGGTAAAATAAAAAATAAAAAAGTAACTTGAATCAAACTTCAGTAGTGAAATAAATGTGAAAACATTATCAGAATTAAAACTGGGATATAAGATACCGTAGACATTTAGAAATGCCCTAAAGGTTCTTCTGTAGAGTACAAACTAATCTTAGGTCAAATCATTTATGAGAAATTCAATACATTCCTAAAATAAATGTCTTATTTGGCTTTTACTTTGAAGCCTAATTAAGGCTGAAGCAGCCAATTGCTGATGTTTTTTTTTCTAGTCTATATTCTACCAGCTATGATGTTGAGCACTTCCTTTCTCACTCTGTAGACACTCACTCACTCCGCTTACCAGGGCTCAAGTCCAAAGGCCAGGAATAAAAAGAGCCCCTTTAAAGATTCCAAGAAAAATCATTGTAATCCATGTTCATGTAATCCATACCGACCCCAGGTTCTTTCTGTCTCACACCACGCTGTACTCAGAGTTAAAATATTTCAGTTTCAGTCCCAGAGGTTGCATAGATCACGTCATGTTTATTTTTCCACATAACCTACTTGGACATATTGTTTACGATATTCCTCACAGTGTGTATGAGCAGATTATGAAATGTCCCTAATCACAAAAAATGCCTCATCCCAGAATTTGTACTGCTTTGAGAATCAGTGCTGGAGAGGATAAAACCGATTCAACATCCACCCACTAAACTTCAGGATGATGACAAATCCTAAGACATTAATTGAGCCTATAAAAAGACCCATTGCACCACCTCATGCCACTGAAACACAATGTGTGGGAGGCTGTCTGTGTCAAGTTCCAGTATATACCACAGCAACACAGAGGCCCTCAACTTGACAAGATGTTAAATCAGGCGCTACAACTCTGATCTGTGTAGTTTACAACTCTGCATCCTTTCCTTTTTTGCTTGAAAATGTATGCTGTTGTGATATCTCTAGGTCCTCATTTAGGACTAATATACTGTATATCACATTTAAATATGACATTATAATGTAATTGTAAAAGAAATTTGTTATTCCATAAACTTGTTCTTTTCTCCACATCAAGCTGTTTTTTTGTCATACACGTGAAAACGGTGGACTGTTAATTAAAAACAAACTTCTGTGGTATAAGCAGAGATAATGAGTTACATTCTAATAATAAAACACCATAGTGTCTTGAAAAAAATATATTCAAAATTAGAAAAATACTATAGATGTTTCTTTTTATCGCATATGTTATTCTACTGAATGACATTTTAGTGGTATAACAACCACAACATGTCAGGCCATCGATTAGATATTATTAAACCACATTTTTATGTCAATAATTTGTCCTTCGACCATTCCATCTAACAAATGCTTCTGTAATCCTCTGTCCAGTAGGTTAATCAGTGTATTAAATACATTATTGTTATTTTAAATAAAAGGCACAGTTGATAATCTTCTGCTGTTTAAGTTGTTTAACAGGATTAAAATGGAAAATATTCAAGAACAGAGAGGCAGATTAAAGAATGCAGAGCGTATTGTGTCTGTCTTCATAAATAGTCTATACTCAGTGGTTGTGTGAAACATGGCCAGATCCTTAAAATGTTATTCTGGATAAAATCTAACTAAACCCTTCTCTTTGCTTCATAACATACACATCAAAGAGGGCGAGAAAGGGAAAACATTACTAAAAGGCAAACACACATTCAGAGAAAATCTACAGGTTTCACGTTTCACTATCTTTAATAATTCATATGCACATGCTCTTGGGCCAACTTCTTATAAAAAAAAATATCTTCTAAGAAAAGTGAGTTGTATTTCTCAGGGTAAGACTTTTGCTCACTTGATCACATATCTGTGTCTTACTCTGTATCTGCATTTCCTTGTATGAAGCAGTTTAGATACAGTACAGAAATATATCTGTCCTGGACACTAAAGCCAAGCTGAGTTGATTGCACTGAATGAAATAATGACTTTTATTCAACCAATTCACTGCTGTTTGTACGCAGGTCACGAACTTTGCATTGATCAGATTTGATGGCAGCAGATTTTAAACTGATTTCACAGTGGGAAATTCATTGTGAATAAAATGGTTTGAGGTACTAAATCTCATAGTGAGATGAGACTGGTGGATGGAATATTACAGCACCACCATTTATCATTTAACTTTTTGCTTCACTAACTAATAGACATTCTTTTCTCTCTATTCTCTCTCTCAGTCTCTCTATTTCTCCGATGTCCAATTAAATATCTTTCTTCTTCATTTCTCTGCTGCTCCCAGAGGGTTGTGTGGAGGACAATGCAACACAGTGTAAGCTTTTCATTCCTCCTCTTACTTTTACCAAGTCATCTGTCTTGTGGTGTTTTAATCAACCTGCCCATAGAGCTCCACTTCTCTACATTATTCAAAGTTCATATTGATTGCTTGTTTGTGACATGACTGTTTATTTACTAACTGAACTAAGCTGCTGAGGTCGATATTTAAAACTGTCTTTCTCCATTTCTTGGTCTGTCTAGAATCATTTAGACAGGAAGCATGGTGGTTATTAGAAGGTTGTGAGTTTGAATCTATGCCATTGTTCCTCTTGTTTGAATTTAGTGTTTTCTCTTTGGGTTTCCTTTTGATTTTTTACACCATTCAAAGACATGTAGTTTAGGTTGCTTGGAGACTTTAAATAATTTGTCCATGGCTGTGATCAGCACATGTTAGTGTTAACCCTGTGATGACCTTGCAAAGAATCCAGGCTGTTTCTTTGTCTTATTTTCTCGTTCATGCTGGGATAACTCGTGCACCAGCTGTGGCTTTGGGTAGAGAAAAAACAGAAAGCTCTTTTCATTTCTCTATTTTGTGCTACCTTGTCTCCTCCATCCTCCTGCCTGTGACCCGGAAATCAATCTATGCACGCCATCTTGAAGGATGTCTCAATTCCTAAAATGCATCTTGAAGAAAGAGGAGTGAAGAGAGAGGAGGCTTGCCTGAGTAGCTATGAGCGAGGATGCACAGGTGTATCCTTAGCGGAAGTCTTTTCGGGCACCCATAACATGTAAAAGAGGCATGACAATGGACAGATGATGCAGCTGTGCCACACGTCATATTAAATTAATGCCGCTTTAAACTGACGGCTCAGAAGCAAGGATGTCTTATTTTGTTAAATGTCTCTTGCCTCCACTTCTCTCCGTCTTTGCCTTGCTTCCTCTGTTCGCAACTCAGGTGGGAGGGACTGAGATGCAGGGAAAGGAATCGAGGATGTACAAACTGAGAAATGAGAAGAGGTTTGTGGTTGATGTTGCGCATGAATGTTTTGGATTCCATGCATGAATGTAGACGGCTTAAAGCAAATTCTTTAAACCTATCAATTTATTATCATTTAAAAGGAGAATATAAAGGATTTTGTTAACCAGGGTTTCTGACTCACATCTTCAATATGTCTAGAAATGCTGGTCTTTTGCAGTACTTAGTTGATGTACCAAATATCAGCAATGAGTTACATCCGCTTTTGGCAAATGTGCAATCTTAATTGTTTAAGACTATAATAACACAAATTGCAGTGACTGGTTTACATCTTACAACAAGATGCTTGTCACTGCCTATAACTTATATTCAAGGGCAACTCTTTATGTGTTACATGCACAACTACACATGTACAACTTGTGCTTGGTACAGCAATATGCTCCTACTATGGTCAAAATATTTATTTGCATCTTCAAACCTTGGACACAGAAGGCGAGATTTACATACATGAATTCTGTGTCCTCTGTTCAGTTTACACTCACAATGGTCTGCATGTAATTATAGTCTGATTCGGAAAAGCAGCTCCTAATTACATAATCACTGATTAGGACCAGCATCCGTGCACATACTGTGAGTGAAGAAAAGGTCAAAAGGCGCAGTTCAGTGGTGGGATTTGCCTGAGATCAGCTAGTTTGATTAATAACATTGAATGGCTTCAGGCACAGAAACAATGAGCAAAAGGTTTAGTAAATATGCCTGTGATTAGCACTGAGGTTTATGGATGATTGTAAAGCTCTCAGTCCTCATTATTCCATATATATTTATTTTGTACAGTATTTTGTTTTCGGGTGATTTGTGCTAATGTATCTCTAACATCGCAGTCTGTCAATTACGTCTCAGATCAAAACTGAATTAGATACAAGTGCTTACATGCTGTCTAATCCTCTTCCTTTTCCAGCTCACTGCTAAATGATTTAAAGCTGAAAGAGGTCCGTCTTGTTGGGTTTGTATTATTATAGCTGCCCTATGTAAGACTTCTTTACTTCATGCTGGCAGAATTTAGTGTTAATAAATAGTAGCACTGGTTTAAAATCTCGTAGGTTGTGATGTTTAATTTAAAAGGATGCCATTTTTTATGTCAGCTATAAACCTACTGCTGAAAATCCAAACCTTTACTAAACAGGAAAAAAACTGATTGTGCTTACATTTTATATGCTAGTGGCACATGGCTTTAGGAATTGTATTGGCAATTACTCAACAGCCATTGGATGGATGAATGAAACTTTTTACAGGCATTCTCAGTCCCAGAGGACGAAGCCACCTGACTTTGGTGATCCACTGACTTTTCTTCTAGCGCCACCATGATGACCAATTCAAAAACAGTTATACATTATGATGTTTTCTGGACCTTTGCATGAGGAAATTTTCTCTAACTCTGGACAAATTTGAATTTGAATTGAATATCCCTGCCTGGCCTAGTGGCAGAGAGAGTACAGGGTCTGAGGGGTTGTTTACTTGAATATGTTAGTGTAGTCTGCTTGAGTCATTGATCTTTTATCTGACTGAGGTTTGTGCTAGTTAGAATCTATTGCCCCCTACCATGGCTCTGAAATATCAGCAACCTAAACCTAACTGTACTGTGTGTTACTATTTCCATGGTGCTGTCCATGGTGCTGAAGTAGCAGACTATTTGTTGTATCTGTCAGTCCCGCCCCTCTGTTTCAGGTT